TATGACACAACGAATCCATCTCTATCTGAGCAAAGTGGAAGGTTGTGTTGTACAACCTGGTGTTTTGTTAGAAATATCAAAGCGGGCACCGTAGGCAAGAGAGAATTGATAGATAGGTAGGCATGGCATGTGTAACGGAAAGAAAAGAAAAGAAAGAGATGCACCTTGCTCACAACAGAAGAAACATCTGAACGAAAGAGCAAGACAACAAACAAACAAGAGGAGGAGGAGTAGAAGAGAGACAGAGGAGGAAGAAGAAGGAAGCGAGTGTACGGAAGGGAGGAGACAGACAGAGAAAGAGAGCGAGAGCATCGTCGGTTCGTTTTTTTTTGTTTTGTTTTTGAAGCCGAGGTAAGCGTGTCTTGGGCGGAAGCTAGACATGGGTAGCGTGTTCTAGGCTGAAGCAGGGCATGGGAAGGCAAATGATGGTGGTGTGAAGAAGAAGAAAAAAAAAATAGGGTCAAGGTAAGCGTGTCTCTGGCTGCTGAGCAGCAGGGCACGGAACGACCGGTGGTTAAGCCGAGGTAATCATGTTGTTGGCGAGAGCGAGACATGGAAAGACCAGAAGGTTGAGGAAGCATGTTCTAGGCTTGAGCAGGGCATGGAAAGAAAGGCTGAATAATGCGAAGGGTGTGGTCAAGGTAAGCGTGTCTCTGGCCAAAGGGCAGGACATGGAACGACCGGTAAGCCGAGGTAAGCGTGCTCGGGCAAAAAGCGAAGGCTTGAGCAGAGCATGGAAAGGCATGGAGGTTTGTGTCCAAGCTGGGCCACCAGCGGAATGTGGTCAGCCTGGTTCTTATTACTTAAGGAAGCGTGTGGATTCCTTAGTAGGCTAAGGGCCGGGAAGGAGGGAGAGAGTTCTACCTCCAAGACCCGGCCTTTGCGCGGCGACACAACAACAATAATAAAAATGGCATTTTTCGGGAAGTGAGAGAAAAAAGAGTATTGTTATTATTTTTTTTTTTTCTTAATATGACACAACGAACCCATCTCTATCATAGAAAAGAGTCTGAGACAGATTAGCAATGGATTCATAGCGTCAGAAAGTACCTGCATGTCTACGATTTCCCAGACAGCATATAGGGACATCTCCCCTGCGGGTAACTGTAATTGTATTTTTTTCTTAGTATGACACGACGAATCCATCTCTCTCTATCATAGAAAAGATTTTTTTGTATATTATATTTGTATTTTTGTATTTTTTTTTGTGTACAAGTACTAGTAGTACTGCTGTACCACTATATTTTTTTGTCTTCACTTCAAATCAGCGCTCACAGCACTACAATAATAGTGCCGTTAACTCCAACCCGTGGTCATCACACAGAAGAGCCCCTCTCTACCCTCCCCTCCTACGGTAGTTTGCCTTCGATTTTTAATGCGAGAAGAGTTCAGCACACTCTTCCCTCTGTGTACACACGAACTAGCGCTATCCACTAGGCCAGGAGCGGAAGCGAGAGAGAGAAAAACTCACTTTGCAAGAAAAGCTCGCTTACGCCGGGATCCGAACCCCTGACCTGACCTCTAGAAGGTTTCGAGGATACCAACATACCAACTAGACCACCGGGGCGACCGGCATTGTATGCATAGACTTGACACAGGTGTGTACCGGGTGTATAGCAGGTGCCTGACAGAGAGAAGCGATGGTTCGAAGAGAGAGAAAGAGAGACAACAACAGGAGCGAGGAACACAATCCAACGGTTGTCTATTTTCGATTACAACAACAATTTAAATCTTCTTGACTGCTGGGAGAACGACAAGTGAAGATGGACCTACCTCACTACTTGCACTTCAAGACTTGAAGAACACATGTCGATTCTTCCCGTATGCCGCAGGTGTCGCTCTCTTCTCTCGGAGTTTGAGTCCGACGGAGCAGCAAGCAGAGCACGCCCGCGCGGCACAGCCGATGAGGGAGAGATGACCCGACTAATGACACGACCGGATGGGAAGGTGTTTATTTACAGGGAGTGACGTTTCCGAGCTCGAACAACACACATCACAGTGAACAACTGACGTGCTTGCGGTCGAAGAGCCCGGCAAGCCACCTCCAACTGCACCAAACCGGAAGACGATCTTCACACATGATTCTTCGATTCTTTTGCTTGGCCAACCAAGGCAACCCCCGTGCCAACCACCCGGCGGCGGACCTCGAGGCCGCGGCCCTTCCTAAAAGGGGCTCCGTGGTTGTAAGAGAGAACTTTGACATAAAAAAAAAATGCAAGTATCGCACACCACGACAGCACCAGAGCGGAAGTACTCACACGACCCGGGAAACACAGACAGAGCGGACGAATCTGGAATCGCCGACTACGCGACGCGCATAGAATAGCCAAAGTTCGAACCCCTCTAGAGTGCCAGCACCGCCACCACGATGCTACCGTCCGCGAGAAGGGCGGAGCTTTCGAGGCAGTACTTCGACAACAGGTGAGGATGTTCATGAGAAAAGGCCGAGAGAGGTGTATGTAGTCTAGTCTAGACACGTGCGTGATGGGCGCACACGAACACAAGGGGCAGGCTAGATTTCGGTCTGCTGCTGTCGACCATGTTTTTAATCCGCGGCAGTAGGGTTGTAGGGTTGTAGCCGGCCTTTCCAACCCGATGATGATGCACGGCTCCCGTTCTTTGCCCACGCGCCCACGCGCGTCTGTGGCCTGTATGATGCCGCCCGCGACCCTCTCTGCTTCTCTTCGATGGAAAATCTGACCCAGTTACCTCTCTCGGAAAGCTTTCGAAGCTGGAGGAGCGGGCGCACCACCACCGGAGGGGGTTGTCCTCGCCCCCGGCGCAGCGGATGCACCAGCCCCCGAGCCCTCCCAGTACAACCCCCACCACCAACACCACCACCTGCGCGGCGGCGAGAGGGACGGCACCGCGAAGCCCTTCGTGAAGGGCGGCGACTCTTTGATGTCCAAGACGACTTCCGGACTCACGACCTTTGAAGACGACCTGGACATGCCGTTCCACGCGGGCGGGGTCCGTCGCTCCGCCGCGGGCGCATCGTCCGAGAACCCGGGAGGCTTCTCCCTGCCCGACGGCGCCTCGGTCTTCAAGAGCACCACGGACTACGGGAGCGAGTTCAGCGACGATGACGAGTCGCTGGGGTCGATGGTGTCCGGTAACGAGTCGCTGCCGGTGTCGCACCGATCGGAGACTGGCCCCGATTCCGTGGCGGGGCAGATATGGCGCATGCTGTGCTCGCTGGACGACCTGGTTCTCGAAGTCAAGGTGAGACTGGCGGCGGCCACAAAAGAGAGAGACAGGAGGGAGAGGTCCTGTGTACATGGTCGGCTACGGGTGTGACGCACTTGGACGCATGGTGTGTTGCTTGTCATCAGTCCCCGAGGGACCGACCGTGTGTGATGGATGTTGATCAGTCTCCGCAAGCAATAAAACCAGCAAGCGGCATTGTACTGCTGTACACACCGTACTGCTGTACCATGTTTGTAGTAGGTACTGGGTTCTTGGAAATTAACTCTAAATATTACACAATCCCAAGTAAATATAGTCCGTGGACACCAAGGTGGCGTTTTTTCAGCCACGTTGTGCGTGTTGGGCGCGCTCTTTACTCTCTCCGCTCCTTGCATGACCCTCTTGGTTCGCCCTCTGGAGAAAGCTCGAGCTATTGAATTTCCTGGTGTATCTCGGCACTTCAGACAGCAGTTGTGCGCGCCCCGAACTTGTCCCATACCTACCATGGTGTTATATCGGTGGCACTCCATACAGTTGTACGCTGTAGTCGACAAACATTCATTTTGGTAAAAAGTCTGGGACGGGGGGGATGCTGCTGCTGTACACTGTAGTAGTCGAATGTAGTGTGTGGACGGGTAGTTCAGTTTTGGGCACGCAAACGTGCTGCAGGGATGTATAGGTGTACCTCTTCGGGCTTGTGTACCCTTTTCTTGGTAGTTTGCGTGTTCTCTAGATCTTCTGATGGCTCTAAATAGCATTTTTGTGACCACGGACCGCGTCTTTTCTAGATTTTGGGATTAGCAACTGACACGAGTTTAATGTGAAGACAACAACAACAACAACAACATCTCAAGAGGCGCTCTCACCACAGGCGCACGGAGTAATCCCGCGTACCTACAGTATCTAGATGTGATATACACAGATCGGCACCCATCTGACGCTATTGTAATTAGTTCTGAATCCGATGGTTACAGGCCGCCCGTGGTTGGAGTGTTGGATATGTCTTCCCCTCCGCCTCTTCCACATCTCCTCTCTAGATGTACACAATACGTTGGCAAGGCTGCGCAACCCTTAGTGAGCGTGCACCAATATTCACAAGCCGCACTGATACTGTTGTTACAATTCTGAAGCCTTAGCTTCTGTCTCATCGTTCAATATCGGTGGAAGTTTCATTCGCATGCCCCACCCCTTGCCCGACCCGGTCTTAAATGCTGATCTCGAGCTACATATAAGTGCAAATCTCGTGGCGCCTCGAGTGAGTATGGTTCGGTGTGGAATCGCAAGTCATGAGCCGTCCCCGAGTTTGAGAGGCTTCCGCCTCCTGTGGCTGGCAAGAGTCCGCCTTGACTGTTCCTGGCCTGTTTCGCCATTTTTTTTTCTTTTTTCTTGTCTTCACTTCAAATCAGCGCTCACAGCATTCGTGCCGTTTAGGTTTAGGTCTCAACGAAGAAATCAGATATCGAAATCACATTTCAATGTAAGAATAAAAGAGTCGGATCTACCCGAATCCGGACAGAAATGGCGTGCGTGTCTTAACGGCAAATCTGCAAAATGGAAACGAATCTCTGCAGTCCACCGCGAACAACCCGAGAGGTCCGCCGCTTGCCAACTGCCAGATTGCTGTTGTGACGTACTGTTATGACGTGGCCGCACCACATGGGGAGCTATCGCTCCCGAGAAGCACACACCAACGCGTACATGGCCTCTGTGCGGTACTGACACGATGTCTATGTATGGGACACTTTGAATGGAGCCTCGTCCGATGGACGGAAAGCCACCAATTCGTCTGTGCATTTGAGGTTCGACAACCCACTAGAGATTGCCCCACAGACCACAACATCCCACACACGTTTTTTTTGTGCGCCAGTCACGTTTGCAACAACGAGCGCAGTCACCCTCCCTTTGGGTTGGCTCTTTTTGCTATATCTCTCCTCTGTGCTCGGCGGTGGATGGAGTTCGTGTGGATGGGGCTAGGTGGGCATGCGGCGTGCACGCGAGTAGACCATGGTCCCGCAACTATGGTTGCGGTTTTTACCCAAATCGGGATCCGATTAAATCATTTCACCTTTTTTTTTCGATTCTTCTACAGCTGGATATGATAAAGGGGAAAAAGAAAAAAACAGAGGCGTAGTACGCGTTCCCCCTCATGGACATTTCATAAGAGTCGAATCGCGGTAGTGGCAGGAGCCTCTCTCTGCGATCAGGTCAGAAGGCCACCAGTCCCCGGGGCTCTTCTGTTGCACCCACCCATGGACGCAGCAGTAGTAGCGCATGTCCTGTAGACTAATATTATAGTACGGACAGACGAAGAAGGTAATGGGTAGAGAGAACAGAACGAACGGTTTTGTAATTAATTGTGAAGACAACAACAGCGAAACTGCTGGGTTCGCCCATGGATAGTTATTGCAGCACTTTTGAAGTATTTGGTATATAAAACGACTTCATGGATGGGTAATGAGAGGATTCAATTCAACTACTCTACTACAAAAACTTACTTTGGAGTATGGAGGGTGCTCCTTCTTCTTATGCATGGCATGTATCGCATCATCAATATTCACAGCTAATAATGTTAGTCCACGACGACGAGGATGTCAAACGATAGGTTTGTTTCGGAAAGCTATCGATGCCAACGCCGCCCGGCCACGCTTTCTGCTGTGGAGTAATCGAGCTTTGAAAATAGAAATTTGTTCAGGGGGTGTGATATCTTATGCCATCTACTCTGTGTACAGAACTCTTTGTCGTGCTTGGTGGGCGAGCGTGTCGCGGTGTGCGCCCTCGACTTTATTAACGTCTAAAACACTGGAGAGCTTCAGACAGGCAACGCGACCGTACTCGTCGAGTTGCTTTCACAATAGTATTTCATGTAGATGCACATTTATGGTGGTACCATCGTGTATGCACACACGAACAGCGGTCTTATTCCTCAAGACAAATCAGACCATTTTTCAGACTGTAGGCAGACAGGGACGCGAAGAGTGACGTACACCACACAATCAATGTATCTACCTCGTCCTTTCCCTGTTGTGCGGAAACTAGCGTGACGAATCCCTCTCTTTCTCTCTCTTGTCTCTCGCCCCCCCCCCCCCCCTTCCCC